TTCAACCCAGTAATATCTAGAGTTTGAGACTTCATGCACTAGAAATTAGTGATTAGCAACACAAAGTCATGTAGAAACTTAACACAGGTTGCAAGAATTGTTGGAGGCTACTTAAGGAGCACAAGGCAAACTTCTGCAACTACTTGTATAGGAACTAGCTTGGAACCTAGCTAAAAGACAGGAACAAGTTTTAAAAACATTTTTTCACTCATGCAGTGACAGAAGTAACGACATTTGAAGACAACGTTTACGGATGGTTTTTCAGATTTGTAGTTTTCTTGAAAATTAATGTCAAACAATGAATTATGTAGTAAAGCTATTAATAATCATGGCAGACAATAAATGAGATGTGGTTTAATAAAGAAATGTGATAATACCATAATTTCTTAGAAGTAATGAAAAATCATCTGGGATATTCAAGGGCTCTTATTCATTACCCTGTTCTCTATTCAGCTATGCATCTGAACAAAGCATATTTCCATTTATCAGACAGACTGAAAAAACAAGAAGAACTTTTGATTGGTATGGAAAGGAGACAGCACCATGACGTACAGCACAATGAAATTGCCTTAAACCTACTCCCCTGCCTCCCAGACTATGAAATACAATAAACAGGAAAAATCAGACTGATTGTATGATCCTTCTGTAGCAGCCAGAACAGTTACCCATGAAGGGGTTATAGAACAGCTAACAGATTGGCATAGAAAATGTTACAGGAGTTATATTTAGGCTAGATGGGCACTACGCAAAGCAACGTACTCTCGATGCTACAGTATGATACTCAATCTGTATCTAATTCAGAAGACCCTCCTGTAGCCAACATCTGCACTGCTCGTTTCCTAGCGAGGGCTGTTGTATCCTTTTCTGTCGACGAAAATCCCCATATGTCACATGCTTTTAATAGCTTCCTTATCTCTCACAAACTGTGCCTAATAATACCACAACCATGGCGTCTTATCAGGAAATTGTGTTCCCGGTCTCTGCTTTACTCCTTTACAGCCCTCCCACTTCTTTTAACACCCTTCTTTTAACTCGTAAAGCAGTTGAACACTTTAAGCAATCTTCCACCACGTGGCTTTGCTTCACTTTCAATAAAAGGCTGTTGGCTGAACAGGTGAATTAGATAATTTCTTCCCATCTAAAAATGCAAACTCATTTCAGCAAAGAATTCAACAGCCCAAATCCCTTTTTTAAAATAAGCAGTGACTATTCAAAAGAATGCCGGAGCACCAAGTCTACCACATGAAGAAGTCTCCCCTGGTTTTCCACAGGAGAAATTCCACTGAGAACTTCTCCCATGCCAGACTGGCACTGTGTAGCTTTTCTATTTAAAATGAAACGTTTCAGTGAAACGTTAAAGCTCTGTGCACCGCGCTTCTTCATCAGTCATTGAGCAAATTATCCACCGAGGAGTGCAGCTGCTTGTCTGCCTGTGAGAAAGCAGGCTTGCTTCCTCAGCCTGTGAAAAGACTCCATGACACATCCAAGTCTCTTTCAAAGCAGTTTTATTTCTCAATACTCAAATATAAGCACAGTGTGAAACCACACAGCCCCTCAGTTCATACTGGACCAGTGCTTTTAGAAGCATCTTTCCTTCAGTTCCTCTGCTTGAGTATCTACTTCAGCAGCCCATCTCTGTTCAATATCTGACCCTTTCCAGCAGAGAGGGGTAACAGCAGGGGGTTGGCTGGTCCCAAGGTCCGTGGCCTTTTTAAAAAAGGCATGGGGCCCAGCCAAGGGACCGCTCTAATACAATTCAAACCCAACATGTTTCTTAGTTCTCTTTTTTCCTGTTACAAATGGCCTGAATTTTAGAAAACCTCTCCCATCCTTCCTTCTTTCTCTATGCCCAGTGCTTCTTCCTTCTCCCGCCCCAAGAATTTATCTGCATAGCAGTGTGTTTAGGCGAAGACCTGTGAAGCTCCCCCTGATTTTTAGGAGCCTGTCTGTATCCTGCTTTTATTAGTTTGGAACTGAAGTCCCAATCCTGAAAGGAGAGATTCGCATGCAGAGTGCCTACACCCTTGTTTGTGCCCTGCCACTGATTTGAGAGTTGAACTCCCTACCAGATGCATCCCTGCATCTTCAAATGCCTACATAGCTTAAAAATCTGGACACTGAGTGTCTGCAGATGTGCTTCAGTATCTTTCTATCATCCTCTTTTTGGCTGTGTTTTTATACTTTGCTCTCTGGACAGGTAGCTTTTAATGTACCGCTAGTGTGGGGCTGTGGAAAGGGGCAAAATAAAATACCAACAAAATACTGCAAGACTCAGAATGTAACTGCAGTGAGCAAATGTGCAAATGCATTTGAAAACTCAGCTCAGAATTTATTCCATTTAGAAAATAAAACCTGCAATCCTTTAGGCGGAAATTTTCTTCCAAAGAAAGCAGAAAATACTTGGTTCCCTGTCTGTACGCTCACAGGTCCTGCATGTCATTGCAGTGCATGTGAAGTGGTGTTAGTGAGAGAAGAAAAGCTGACTCCTTCCACTTTAGCATCATTCCACTTTAGTTAAATGGTATTCTTGAAGAGAAAACGTGCACAGCTCGCCTGCTTCCCCAGCCCAGAAAGCCTCACTGTTCCACCTAAATCTTTTCACAGCACAGTTTTAGTTTCCAGCATAAATCTTAGACAAAACACCAAACAAAACTGTTTCCCTGTCTGGCCAGAACTAGAGTCCTTGGGCTCCATCTCTGTAATTTTACTGCAGGATCCCCTCTCCTTTTCTGATGGTTTTAAAGGGAACATTCAGCCACTTCTCAACTAAGTCCAATAAACTGCTGGACCTTAGCGGTGAAAGCTGACTTACTAAGCCTATAACAGTATTATTATCTCCTATTTAGAAGCAGGAATACAAAGTACAAAGGCAGCAAAAAACGTTCCAGAAAGGCTATCTGCTCTCTCACTTCCTCATCCATCCCCAGACAGCCTTCCGCACTGATACTGAGTCCTTCAGACCACTTCCCCTCTTTCCTCTTCACTGCAGGCTGCCCACAAGACCCTATCAGCGACTGCGTGCATAGAAGTAGGACTAGGAAAAGTATTTAAGGCAGTGTTCAGCAGTTTCAGAGTCAGCTATCCCCCCAAGGTGCTCTCAATTTGAATTTGTGCTATAAATAAGAAAAGTCAATCAATTCCACAGGACCAGATGTTCCTGCGCAGTCTACTAGTAACAGGCATATTGAGCTTGCTTGAAAATTGTTGCTCTGCCTAACTACTGGGTTTTGTATCCTATGGCTATATATAGAAATATATTTAAGCTTACCCTGGATCCCAAATGCATGCCAGAGTGCAGCGCACAAACAAGGAAACCAAAGATATGGTATTATGCGTTTAATTTTTAGTCACAAACTTCCTTTCCCTAGCTTGAAGTACCTTCAAATGAAATTTCCAACAACAGCTTCGTACATAGCTACAAGAAGATTTGACTGTAAATTTGTCAGTCCAAGAGCTTTCAGCAGAAAATGACAATTCAGAAATGTTTCACAGAAAGGTTGTCATTTCAGTGAGCTTCCTACATGACCCAGTGAGCTAAGTCCAACGGATTGCTGACCAGCCAAAATTTCCAGGGCCATATAGTCTATTCCAGTATGTGGCATGTTAGGACCTCCAGGTTTTTGCTACAAAAATGGAAGATGGGCAGACCTAGAAGCTCCAGCCCTACCCGAGGCTCAGGATATGCGCTCTGAAAAGGACTGAATTCTCCTCCAAAGCCACCAGCACTTGCAGTGTCCCCGCCACAGCAGCTGCTGCCCTGGCAGTTTCTGCTCCCAAGCTCCGAAGCCCACTGTTCAGTCGCACTTCTCATACTCATACATAGTATGTCTGGAAACTCTGACAGGAAGCCAGGAGTTAAGCAGCAAGGAAGCTATGGAAATGACTGGAAATGCAGATTTTTAAGTTCCCAGACTCAAAATCACTTGGAAATTCTGGAACAAAAGTGCTCTGGTTATTCTGAAAGCCTTTTTCAGACCTCCTACTCAAAAAGTCACAATTTTTACATGCTCCAAAGTGCAATAATCCTTGCCGCCCCTTCTCCCCTCAGTGTCAGAATGACAATCAGCAAGGGAATTCCAGCTTTCAAAGAATTCTGGGTGTAACTGTAAAATAGGAAGCACTTTGTAGTTGCTTTGAGAAAGGCAAGAAATCTATGGTAAAGTTCAGAAACTTAGCTAGGCTTCCCAGATACCTTGTTTTTAACCAAGCAACTAATTAAAATCCACCACACTGTAACCTTGCTAATTTGGAGCTAATTTGGAGCTAATCACATGGAAACCCACAGCAAATTATTGCTGCCTGAAGATTAGCCACAAGTAAACACAATAGAAAAATAAAACCTCTGCATTCCATTCTTTCATTCATTGGAAAAGTGTAATTTAGTTTAAATTCTAAGCATATGTTTATATTTTTGTAGTACGCTTTAAAATAAGAAGGAATTTTAATACCCTGAGATTTCATTAAACCTAACCTTTGGCGATTAAGGCATGCTGTGAAGCGAGGAGCGAGTGCTATTTGTGAGTGTATATTGGTGAAATACCAGCTAGTTAAACTCTATTGCATTTTGAAACTTTGTCGGCAATAACGTTTTTATTATCTGGGTACTTAACCATCACCTTAGTGTCTAAGAGCCTTAATTTAGCTTCCTAGTAAAAGAGAAAACATTGTAGTTGTCCATGTTTGGAGGGAACACAAACTGGCAAACATACCACTGTTCTGAATTCAGACACTTGCCACAGCAGCCAGTCTTCGTTAAGCGTGTAGAGGGCTTTGCAAGTTATTGCGTCAACAGGTCCTTTGTTTATCCTCTGATTGAGGGTTGTCACTAGCAAATAGAAAGGTTCACCAATTGTCTCCTAGGACATGAAACAAACGCAAGGAACATGTTTATTTTTGTAATCATTAAATGGGCATGAAGAACTAGAAAAAAATAAAGTGTAAGAAATTAAGTTATTTCCTTTTAACTAACTTGTTATCTTGCAATTAGAAAAGAAAATCCCTCTGAGCAGATTTATCTAGTTATTTGTTTAACCTCCATCCTTTGCTTTTCGGTGTGAAAGTCTCATGCAAATAGCAAGGGACAGCTGGAGCGTGTGGCAAGATAGCTCACAGCCCCTTGCTGTGCACAAGCACACTACAGACAAGCTGCTCCTACTCCACCTGGCAGACGCTTCCTAGTTCCACCAAAGAGCAGGTGGGGGGTGAGACATGCATGTGTTCACACGCATACTTCAGCTATCTCTTCCTTTTTCAGTCTTGTGAGAAAACAAGCTAACAACTAGTTTCCTTTTGAATTGGCATCTCCCCTTGTTGTCCCTGAAAAAAAGCCTCGTGAGCAAGGTGGTGGGACATACACTGGTGTATCAGTGAAAGAGGGAGTTAAACTGGGGCTTCCCTCTCCTGCCTGAACCCCAGGCTTCAGGAAAGCACCTGAGAAAGGAAAGGTGGATCTTTGTTTCCACGTGACACCATTCCTGCAGCCTGGCTGAGGCATCTCACTGGCACAGATCGATACGCAAAGATCACTGGTGTATCGAGAACAGATCTCTCACAGTTCCTTGGCTCTCTCCTGGGGCGAGCTGCTGAGCCTCAAACAATTCTGCAGTTGTATTAATGCAAGGACCAATATGAGCGATACCAACAGTGCGATACCGTCACACCGGTAAGAGAGACAGGAAGCATAACCAAGCACTGAAACCAAGAACTTCACACACCGAGTGCTACCAAGTGGGCTAAAATAAACAAACAGTAAAATGAAAGAAAATGCTTATTTTGTTTCCACTTGAAGTCATTTAGTTCTTGAAAACTGCAATCCTATTTGGAGGTTAAAAGGTTTGGAAAGAAGTTTAGTTTTCCAAAAGACGGTATTCCTTAAATCTCCAGTACGTGGTAGCTTTCCAACAGCTTGCATAGAAAGGTACAGCTGCATTTTAACAAGTGTGTCAGTCTTTTGGTATGACCACAATACATCTCACGGAGATGAAATAATGTCTGACATGAGAAAAGGATATGCTAGAATTGCAAAATTACCCAAACCTCAGCCAAATAAATGACACGATCATTGCTCACAGACGCGCTCTTTTTCTACATCCCCTAGCTAAGTCACCTAAACTAGAAGAGCGCACATTAATAAAGTTAAATGTTAGACTGAATGCTTTAAACTGATCCCTCTAACAATTCCTATGGAAAAAATCAGTTAAAAAAATTCTTTGCCTATCCTACGTAGTGAAAAGATGTACACATACCCGGAGAAATCCAGAAAGGCAGACAGACATCCAGTTTGTCAGCAATTTTTCTACCACAGATTCAGTTCGTCTGAGCAGGAGCTTAGGCTGTACATTGCTTGACTGCTCCATCAAGTCCTTTGTCAACACTTCCAAAATATGGGTTAGATAAACTAGCTTAGTTTGTAGAGCAATAGTCAAGAAGGATGCAAACAAGCACCTGTAAAAAAAAAAAAAAAAAGAAAGAAAGAATGCTATAATATTTGGAATTTCTCTTCCCAGTCATCTTTAATAAATGAAACACACTTTAGTGCAGTTCAAATCCTAAGTTTTCCCTCCTCAGGCACAGAAACTGTCCACTGATCTCTACAAAAATATAAAAAATGCAAGTCCATCTGCTCTTCTGATTATTTTTTAAACACAGAATTTGTGTCTCTAAATTTAATTCTGCAGAACAACACCTGCTTCAGTGACAGAACATTTCTAAACTGTGGAACTGTTGATCTAACTGCAGGAAGTGTTTACAGCTTTGAAGTGAGTTTTCCTGCTCCTCTGCCTCTTTGTTTACATGTACAAACATTCTGATTTCTCTTTAATGGCTTGTTTTAATGGCAATGTTTTTTCTTACTCAGTGTGTGCAGATGAAGAAGATGGAAAAATGCTCTGGAGTAATGCAAGCTTGTTTTGCAAGAAGTAGAAATTACATTTTTGTGCTACAATTCATGCTGGTTTTTCCTGCTAATTCTTTGTCTTGAAGATGATAAGCATAATCATACCATACCTGTCTTTCACAGAGAAATTTTTCTGCTTTTCAAGGGTGTGAATGAGAGTAACAAGAAAGTTCTTGTTACAAATTAAAGCATGCAACATGTTGAAGCTTTCATCCTTGCTCGTTTGGTCTCTGCTCTGGAATAGTTAAACAAAAACAAGCAAACTGTAGTTTGGCTATGATGGATTCTTAATGCTCAGAAAAATAGTAAGCAACATATGGCATAAGATCCTGGCCTCATTCAAATCAGTGGGAATTTTGCATTTATTTCATGGGTCTCAGGATTTTACCAAAGATGCATTTGCGGTTGTGTACAACACAGAGTACACACGCGCAGAGCATACATTTTCTGTCATATACACAAAGTAATGCCAATAGTTAAGTTTGCCTGTCATCTCCCACGACTAGATTCTGTTTATTTTATTTAAATAAGTCATAATATACATTGGGTAACAGCATCTTACACATCAAATTCTTTTTATATATAAATCCATGTAACCCTCCTCATGGGGGAAGGGAACATATTGAAAATGCAGTCTGATGTGTTCTAGGGCAACACTGAGATAAGGGATACAATCACTCTTGAAAAAATATTTATTAATTAAGGCATATCACATTACATCAACTTACCTGTGGCATGTCTTCACTGAAGATGGATGCAAAGCCTCCTGACTAAAATATAAGACAGGTGATATTTATCATTCTTACGTATACCAAAAGTTTCTAACACATGTATGTTAAACATGCCAAGCATGTTCCTGATGGCATACAACTTGAAATAAAACAATTGAAATGCTGGCTTCTAATGGGGCTACAATATAAAAACTCTACACAAGAACTTCTGCAAAGGTGCTGCCAAGGTTCACTGAAAAGTGAACTCTCAAAGATGACCTAGTATTGACTTCAGTGTTACCGTGTGTGTTACTCTATGCTGCTGAGCTGCACTAGCACAGCCGTCAACTAATGCTCCGCAGGAAAAGCTGTTTATTACCCTCATCTGCAAATGTGCTGGTGTGCAAGGGGTGCTGCAGGCTGCATCCTTCTCGGACGGCAATGATAGCCTTTGGTATACGGGGTTTCTGTAACAGAGTGACACTTGAGTTCATCTGCCTCCATTCATTTCAAGGCACTTTATGAATGTTCACTAATGAACTCTCCAGGAGGTCCATGCTGTCAGTCTCCAGAGAGGCACAGGTGCCACCACACATCCAGTCCCAGCGAAAGCTCTCACAACAAAGGGAAGCCCCCAGTTCTCAAATACCTTGTCAATGCCTCTTGTCTGACTCTTACCGCCTGTAAGGTCCCAACACAGCTGCATGTTCCCAAAGCAGCACCCTTGAGCAACAAATTCACACTAGTAACATTTACTGTCATCTGCTTTATCTGCGATGCTGGCAGCCCCTAGTTTCCTTACAGAACCATAGAATGGTTTGGGTTGGAAAGGACCTTCAAAGATCATCTAGTCCAACCCCCCGCCATGGGCAGGGACATCTTTCAGCAGATCAGGTTGCTCAAAGTCCTGTCCAACCTGACCTTGACCACTTCCAGGGATGGGGCATCCACAACTTCTCTGGGCAACCTGTTCCAGTGTCTCACCACCCTCTTTGTAATTTCTTCCTGATGTCCAATCTAAATCTATCCTCTTTCAATTTAAAACCATTGCCCCTTGTCCTGTCACTACAGGCCCTGGTAAGAAGTCTTTCTCCGTCTTTCTTATAAGACCCCTTTATATTGAAAGGCTGCAGTAAGGTCTCCCCAGAGCCTTCTCTTCTCCAGGCTGAACAACCCCAACTCTCTCAGCCTTTCTTCATAGGAGAGGTGTCCCAGCCCTCTGACCACTTTTGTGGCCCTCCTCTGGACCCACTCTAATAGGTCCATGTCTTTCTTGTGCTGGGGACCCCAGAGCTGGATGCAGTACTCCAGGTGGGGTCTCATGAGGGCAGAGCAGAAGGGGAGAATCACCTCCCTCAACCTGCTGGCCAGGCTTCTTTTTATGCAGCCCGGGGTATGACTGACTTTCTGGGCTGCGAGTGCACATTGCTGGCTCATATCTAATTTTTCATCTATATATCTGATTTTTCATTCCTCCCTTTCCTCATGCCTCCTGTTCTCTTCTCCCCTACCATACTCTTATTCCTCTTCCTCCACTGGCTATTTCCATTTTTCCAGAACTTCTTCAGCACCCCTAACACCACCTACCAATAAAACACACACACACAGAGTGAAACAACCAGAACCACGTTAAAGGTTAAAAATGCTTGTGAACAGGGAACAAGCATGGCAGCATTCCCAAACAATATGGGAAATTGAGGGAAAAAAGAAATAATAACCCAAATTTAACAAGTAAAGCAAAAATCAGGCTGAACATAAGGAATATTTTAAGAATAGATGTAATATCCATTTAACACCACAAGCATTAGCACAAAACAAAAGCTATCAAGCCAGATTAAATATAGAAAATTGAAGCAGCAGGAAGCTAGAAGCTCAAAATCAAGATGGGGTCCACCACTTAATTTTAGGTATCTGACTCCCTCTTTAAACAACTCACCCCATCCTGAGACAGATGTCTCAGGCAAGTGGGATGAATCACTTTCTTGAGCTGCCTGTCTCTGCACTGACTACAGAAGATGCTCAGTGAACAGCTTTGATGTCCATGTTTAAACAGCTTAGATTAGATGAGACAAAGCCCATCGAACACACTGGAAGGCAGAAAGAGTACAATATAGACATCATTCAAACACATGAGGTTAGTAAGGGAAGTGGTGGTTTGTCACTTTGACCCTTCTGTCAACCCTTCTGACACTCCGTTGCCATCTATTACCCCATCGCCTTTTCTGTTAATCTGTAGTATTTGTTTAGTAGAGCACTGCTCTCCTACCACATTCATACAGCACAAGGCATGTTTGGACACTCCCGCAACGTAAACGGTAAGTACTTAGCAGGAAAAATTGGTACACAATACATTAAATAACTTGCCTGACACCGCATGTCTGTAGAGAGCTAATAGCGGCAAGTTTACCTTCGTGGTATCAGTATTTCAAACAGAGACAAAATCCAATTGGAATCATTTCCAGGAGGTGCAGTGGCATGAAACTTGTCAAGGCAAAACAGGAGCCCTTCCCTTTCTGACCTCACATAATGCAACAGAGTGGCAGACTTTGTGCCTTTTTTTCTTTCCTTTCTATTTGCATAAAGCAAAGCATTTCCACCCAGACAGCTTCTGCAGACTGTTACTGTTTTGACAGGGGGCTACCACTAGGAAAAGATATTCCTAAAAATAAAGCCACTATTTTAATGCTAATATGCCTGGCAACAAAACAAACTGAAAGGAAAGAGATGCAGAAAGTAAGGTTTCCTTGGTCCATTTTCTTCAAACCTCCTAGTGACTCCGTACAAATTAGACTGGGGGCATCACAGCAGTACCAGAAGAGATACTCCCAGTTTCCTTTGGTGTGAGAAGTGGACTCAAAGTGTACAAAGATTATGCATATGTAATTGTTAAATATTATTCTGCCTTAGTATCTGGTATTTGGCATTGTACAAAAAAAGGCCCTGATTCTGCACTGTCACACGTGTTTAACGTTATCACAATGAGCTTTTAGTGGGATCACACACAGCGATAAAGTGAAGCAGTGTGCAAATAAGACTGCAGGACTGGGCTGCAGCAATGATGAGTAACGCATGAAGACTAGTAGATAATTCACATACATACCAGCTATACCCTAAAACACCACAGCAATAACCAAGGGTTTCTACTCATCGGTGTCAGTCACACAGCAAAATATCACCAGCTGAGATCACAGCTTCTGCCAATTAGTAAATGCTGGTAAGCACTGGTTAACATCATGATATAATTTTGAAAGCTGTGGCAAATGCACTTATCAGCATCGTAATGTGCCACATATGCAAAATATAGCAAGAGAAGGAAAACATTCAAGAGAAGGCCTCTTCAGTCCTCTGACGCAGTAGCACAAACTGCTCCAAAGAACAATGAAAATATCCACCTCTAAACTGGACAGCACTTAAGTACTTATGTAATTTTTAAGCATTTGACTTGCGCTCCTTTGAATGAAGGTCTTACCATTTCTGTCAGCAGCTTGGAGCAGAAAGTCAGCACGACCTTAGAGCCATTTCTTCATCCCACAAATCTAATTAGGAAGTGTCATGATGTTAGCTAGCATGTTAGCTAACTTGACTGTTAATTTAACTAGTTATAGCGTGGAAAGTGAAAGCATGAGAACAAAAAAGCAATGGATAAATTATAGCATAGTTAGGATGGCCTGAAAGGCAAGCATCTTAGTGAAGCTGGGCAAAAAAGAAACGGATGCACACACAACCCTTGAAAATTCAACAACGGTCCTTTATCTACAGCAATTAGGCTTGGTTAAATATAGAGATGTACAGCCTTAAGTGTTCTTTGGTAATTCTTGATTTAAGAAAAGTTTCTTGTGAAAACAATGTGCAATTACTATGTAGTATTTACTTCAGTTATTTGATCCTGACCTTCCTAGCTTTTTCATTATTAGGCAGGGCTGACAACTGAAAGACTTGTAAATATTTACCTCTGGAAAGAAAGTTCTAAGAGCAAAGTGTTTGTAGTCAAGGAAGGGAATGGTTCCAAAACTATCCACCACGTCTAATTCATCCATCTGCAGTTCAGCAAATCCTGAAAAAGCACCCCCCCTCCCCACCCAGACAGTTAGTTCAGTTGACACAAAATCATCTTCACAATTGTAACTTGGCCCCAGCAGGTGTTCCTTAAAAAACGGTTTTCAGGGAAGAGGGGTTGTTTTTCTAGCTGAAGCTCTTAGGAGTGGGAAAGTACCAATCCATTTTTTTCCCCACTTTTGTTGAAGGAAATATTACATGCAATCCTATTAGCTCAGTGCTATCTCTACTGCAGTGCACACCGACATTAAAGAGGAACTCTGATACAACACAAAAATATTCTAACAGCTATAACATTAAAATGTTTATATAATGTAAGCTTTTTGACAGTTTCAGTTCAGAAATTATGCTGTACTTAAGCTCTACAAAGCTCTTTAGACCTACCCTCGCGTATTTCTTTCCGAATCTCGTACTCCAGCAGTTCAAGTTGCTGACTCTGTTTACGAGTTAACTCTTTGGATTTGTATCTAGTAACTACGAATGCCGCTAAAAAGGAAGAAAAAAAGATTCTGAGTACAGAAACTGCAGAACAGACAACTCCTATACAAGACATATTTTAATATTATTTTAAGAAACAGAAAGATTAATATACATTTGCACTCTCCAGGGGGATTACTGTTTCTACTGTCGTCAGTGTGCTAGTACCCATGAGCCCTAGTTATCTGGATCTAAACCGCAATGTTTAATAAAAACCATCCCTTTTAACAAGGTCTTAGAATTGTCAGTCCAACTTTATTTGAAAGTACAGCACACCCTGCTATGTACAACCTGCACAGTGAGACACAGAATCTAAAACCGACTTCTACTACTAGCAACCTGCTTAAAGTAGCACTGATTAAACAGGAAAACAGTTGTTTTGAACAGGAAATCCACTTCCAAATTGTTAACTTCTCTAAAGCTTATTTTGAGAGAGTAAAGGCACGAGATATGGTTCCTGTAAAGGTAATGCACTTTTTAAAAAGAAAACCAACCAAACAAAAGAACAAACCCCTAAAGTTATTACAATAAATGAAAATTTATCAAATATATAACCAGGTCAAAACATTCAGAAAAAAGGCGTGACAAAAAGAGGAGGGGATAACTATTTGTCTCCCTCGATTTAGTAATGACCTACAAATTCATGAATGGTCCAAATGAGACTGAGCAGAAACACCACAAACACTGCCTGAGGATAGATAAGCAGTTTGTCAGGGAACGTCTGCCCCAGGGACAGGAGGGGAGCCCAGCTCTGAGAGCTGGAAAGGCCCAAGTTGTGGCACAAGGATGTCAGTCCTATGGCTTGCCTCACTAAATGGTGGTAAGCAATCCCGGCAGAACAGCCAAAACTACTGTCTTGTAACGTGCTGTAGTCTGACAAGACGGACTTCACCACCAGACCAGAGTTAACTTTGTCCACTCTTACTGGGAACAGGGGAAAACCACCAGACTGTTTGTGACAGTCCCAAACATGCATGCGTGTATGTATATGTGTTTATGTGTCATGATTATACCCTTCAGCAAATCAAAAACTGAAAACACATTATCGTACTTACCTATAATGACACCCACTACAATAGGCAGCAAAATAAGAACATATAAATATATGTGTGATGATGTTGGTTTGACTTCATGCTCAAAATTTCCTAATTTGACCTGAAGAAAAATAATGGCTGTGTTAATAGAGGACAGGTATTATATATCAGTGCTTAAAATGACATTTAATGCATTAAAAAAATTTATTTAAGGCACACGAAGGACCCTGGTTCTGGAGATTATCGGGAAGGCAGCAGCAATTTGGGAAAACATATGGGAACCAACACCAACTTAACTTTTACTGTATTTGATGTTTAAGCAGGATAACAGAGCATTGACAAGAGAAAAATTTGGAGTTCCTCATGCAGCACCAAATTTTGCCATTGCTCTCGCTGCAAACTAGAGCCCTCAAATGAACAGCAAGATCTGGCCTCCAGCTGGCCAAGTGGCTCACGCACTTCAGAATTGCTGCTAAATGTTCTGGCATTCTGAAGCGAGGAAGGCACGTCTTGGTAGTTAAAAACATTCCTTTGCACTCAAGTGTTACTCTGCTGAGCAGAAAAGTAAGGTAAGACTCACGCAAATAATGAGGGAAGTAAAATTTTTGATAGACGCCTGGCCCACAGCCCTCTTCCCTACTTCTTTGCAGAAGTTTCAACCTC